CATTAGGCTACAAAACCCTATGTTCTCTTTCTTTGCCTAGTATGTAATTACACCCAAAAAAGTCATTTCAACTGATTCGGAGAAAACTCCAGGAACAAACATGCCAACAGTTTCAAGTTGACAAGAAGGTATTCTTTATCGCGGTGCCAGCAGACACGGGGGATAGCTCCTCCTAACGTGTGCCCCCACACTGCTCTACAGGCCATTCTTATATGGTCACTGGGCATACTACATCATTTCATAGAAAGTTTCCGGCATGCATACTAAAATGTGATGGTGGTCTTTATGGGTCGTTTACTTTTCCCAACAATCTTCATAACCAGCTTAATTAACATTACAGACATAGCAATCATCCTGTCCTTCTACTTACCAGTTAGTTTAACTGTGCCCATCCTGGACATCTGCTAGTCCCAGATACTCCCCATCCCCAGGTCCTGTTTTTTCTATTCTGCTTTTCTTACATCCTTTGCACTAAGGTCCTAAGGACCTGAAACTATGTCAACTACCTTCAAGCACCGCAGTTCTTTTCCATTACAAAGCCATCACACTTAACATTACTTAGAACTGATTGCATTTTGTGCTTTTGTGCCTCCTTGTCTCACAACCTAAGAAAATTATATTTTAATCCAGAGCACCCTTTTAGCTTGGTGATTAGAACATCTGCTTAAACTGGCAGAGGGGAGGAGAAGTCAAAGTGTAGATTCTACTATGGGAATTCATGGTGGGTTTCCAGCTGGATAAATTCTCTACTGAAATCCTGGATGAAATCTATGTGGTAATGCCACTTCCTCTCTTGATGTTTAATGTAACAAACATGGTTTGAAACAACACAGCAAGTGGAGGCATTTTAGATGACCTTCTCCTTAACAGGCGGAATGGAGCTGCAGCCTAGACAGCAAGCATTTTTAAGAGCTACTACTGACCATTCTCAGAGTTCTTTCAGTGCCACATGGCAAATTAAATGGCGCAGACAGGGTCTACACTTGCAGATCTAAAACTAAAATGTGGGCAGTAACTCACTATAATGGTACTACTGCATTCTGCCATGCCTGCTAGATCCAGGTATATATGCCTTCAGGATAGACCACAAGATGACAAGTAATTTAGTAAACATAATACCTCCTTCCTCCTGCCCCTGTCCAGCATGGGCCATAAGCGTAAATCCAGATTAAGACTACATATTAAGTGGTAATAGTTGGCTATTCTACAACAGCAAATCTACAAAACAGTTTCATGTAGCATGTAAGTGATGAGGCACCTTCAGCGAAGCACTAGTAGTAGAGCAGTTAAGACTCCGCATGAGAAAATGCAGGGTCTGATCTCAGGGATTTAGGACATACCAGGAAGGAACCGACTTCCATTGGGAACAAGAACATTAATACATGTTACCTATATGAAAAGTTACATACTGAAGGTAAGGGACCTGAAGAGAACTGTTCGGTTGTTGTGCAGAGCCACTGTGTGTTCTAGCAGGGACATAATTGTTCATTCTTCTCTGGAATACACCCTGATTCTCTAAAGGAGTTTATGCCTTCAAAAATCAAATGACAAGCAAAAAAGGGCCTGGGGAAAAAACGTTAGTTTTTTGTGCCCAATTAGCACATTCTTATGTAAGAATTCTATTAAGTCATTAATTGAGGAATTTCTGTTGCAAGAGCCACTTGAAACACAGCCTCAACTTCTGCCATGCATTTCACCACTGAAAAGAACTGAAAATTCTAAGGGTGCAGTGATTTTTGTCAACTGAAGCTGGTGGGCTTTTCAGCTCGCAGTGCCTTACTCACTCTCTTATTAAAAAAAAAAAAAAAAAAAAATTAGAATCCTGCCAAAGTGTGAACAAATCAAGGATACAATAGTTCCGTTTCTTGTTCTGTTTCAAACTATGTGAGTCCCCCAGTTCAAGCAGAAGTTGGCCTTTAAATATTTCACTTTCTTATGACATGTTCAAGCAATATGCTTGAGGGATTATCTCTAGAGAGAAACTAATCGTATAATCATAATACAAATGACAGTTTATTGTATTTCACCATTCAAGTTCTTCATGCAAGTCTATTTATTATGATTATTAAAGCACCCAGTAATATTTGCAAATGGTGTATGATACACCCATGAAGACACACTGCTGTTGAACCATACAATGTGACTTTGCCTAGATGCAAGAGACTAACAAATTATTGTAATGAGCTTGCAAAGGACACTCTGAGATATCACATCTATTCTCTGTAGCTACCTGAGTGAAGGTTTTAGGGAGATGGGTGTCAGTCTCTTCTCCCAAGTAACAATTACTAGGGCATTAGGAAATGGTCTCGAGTTGTACCAGGGGAGGTTTAGATTGGATATTAAGAAAAATTTCCTCACAGAAAGGGTTGCCAACCATTGGAACAGGATGCCCAGGGAAGTGGTTGAGACGCCATCCTTGGAGGCAAATGATTTAGTGGTGGACTTGGCAGTGTTAGGTTAATAGTTGGACTCAATGATCTGAAAGGTCTTTTCCAATCAAAACAATTCTGTTTCTAGGATGAGGTGAATATAGAACAGCAGATGCTCAATCTCTGAACTGAGACAAGGAGGCAGGAAAGCACAAAATGTGATCAGTTCTAAACAATGTTAAGTGTGATGGCTTTGTAATGGAAAATAACTGCGGTGCTTGAAGGTAGTTGACATAGTTTCAGGTCCTTAGGACCTTAATACAAAAGGTGTAAGAAAAGCAGAATAGTAAAACAGGACCTGGGGATGGGGAGTATCTGGGACTAGCAGATGTTCAGGATGGGCACAGACAAACTAACTGATAAGTAGGACAGGATGATTGCTATGTTTGTGGTGTTAATAAACCCTGGTGTAAACATCTACTGGGGAGTATCCTGGACTAGCTGATGTCCAGGATGGAAGCAGTTAAACTAACTGGTAAGTAGAAGGACAGGATGATTGCTATGTCTGTAATGTTAAGCTGGTTATGAAGATTGTTAAGAAAAGTAAACGACCCTTAAAGACCACCATCACATTTTTTGTATGCATGTGGGAAACTTTCTGGAAAATGATGTAATTCATGCGTAGCTTCCTATATAAGGATGGCCTGTACAGCAGTATGGGGACACGTTAAGATGAGCGATCCCCCATGTCTCCTGCCACCGCAATAAAGAATACCTGCATGTCAACTTGAAACTCTGTTGGTGAGTTTGTTCCTGGAGTTTTCTCTGAATCAGAACTCTCAGAATACCTCAAGAAGATTACAAAACTGCTGCCAAAAACTAAAGAGGCACTATCAACTGCTAAATAAACACTCCCATTCACTCTTGTTACCCACACCTTCCTCCTTTCTGGTCTTCTAGTATCAGTTTTGTGTTTTCTCATGCAATTTAAAATGCTTTACACAGAACACAGAGGTGCAGTTCTAGTTCTGTCACAATCCAACACTGTCTCCTTTGTTTTTCTGGCATCAAAATAATTTTAATTTCTGTACTCATCACTTGCAAGACACACCCAGTACTAGCTGGATCACTTTTAAAGACTCTCATCCTTACTTCTAAGGCAACCTGATTTGTACTTGCTTCGGCTTATTTCCAGTCTCTTTCTGCTGATTTGTACGCTTTTGTTCCCTTGTACCCTTTCGCACTGTGCCACAACCCCTAGGTAGGTTTTAATCCATAGATCACTCTTTATTCAAACTCTTCAAGTTAATATATGCCATTAAAGAAGGCCTATAATCACTAACACATCTATAAACTTAAAAATAAAATGTGTACCAAAAAGCATAAGGCTAATAATAATCGTGACCTTTTTCCCCTCCACTATTTTGTTGTTCCGTTCCCCAAATACACGTGGATAACCTCCAAACATCAGAGGTAGTCCCTGACAGACCAGTACACAACAAATTGATCAAAGCAAATCTATAATTATGAGGCAAACTTTACTGTTTGTTCTGAAATTGCCATAATAATAGAAGCTTGACCTTTCAAAACATTTTTTTTTCCCCTTGGGTGAATTATTTTGTCTTATTTTGATTATCATTGGAAGCAGGAGAGATCTTAAGATAACAAAGAATTATTTATCGCTACAAAAACTGAAAGGTACGACAGAAGTTATAAGTTAGCCTAATATGTAAGGGAAAAATATCACAAAAAAGACAAAAGTATTTCTAAAAGGACAGGTTCTTAGTTGTCCACATAAAATGTAAAAAGGGATGCTTATTTATATTTATACTGAGTAGACCTAACATACTGCTAAAACATTGTATATGTGTATTCAAAGCACCTTCACCATCACCTTCATGTATGACTTGCTTTTCTGCTTAGTAGGTACATAATCTCATTTTGAGTTACATCTACATAAAGATGACTTTTTAAAAACCTGAAATGTAACTGTAGGAACATAAAATTAAAAACGTGAAAGTTGCATGGTATTTAAATTAGAAATGTAATGACTGTCTTAAGTTCAAAAAAGACACCAGAAATCTAAGTTCTTTGAAAGGGCGCAAGTCGCTTTGGATGAAAAATACAATTAACCTTTACGGGCTTTCGATTAACTCTCGATGCCTTTCAATAGATGAGAAGGATGGTGCAAATAAATGAGGCACATACTTTTCCATATTCCTCCAGAGAACTACCATACAACTTTCACACCCTCTTAAGCTAAGAATTTCTCAGCCAACGGGTGCAGTCCTTCCTCAATTTCCGTTTTCTACCCACATGACGATCCAACAAACTACTCCCGTACTCCACCCTCCCAACACCCGGGTGCTTCACGGAGTTAAAATTAACTTGGTGGTTTGGGTTTGTCTGCGAGCCGAAGATCCTCCTTTGTGAAACAATTGTGCGTCCATCAGCTTCAGCGGCGAGCTCGGCTCGCCTCCTAGCATCACAGAGCTGCCACGGCAAAGCCCTCAGAAGAAAAACAAAACCTTGTCTCAGATAATGGCTTTACTGTACGAGGGGGTGGGGATAAAAAGCGGAATGCAAGGCATTTGATTATTTTCAGCCACTTGAATTTCAAAACACTCTCACCCATGGCTTAGCGCATGCCTAAAATCCCCAAGTCCTTTTGGTTTCCAAGTTGGAGAAGAAAGCCTACGCAGGCTGCGCGCACCTCAAGTTCCGCACCGCTCGCCTAACGACCGTAGGTGTATTGCCGCCTCCCGCGCTGAGACCTGTCCCGCACACCAGCCGTGAAGAGCAGGGAGGCTCCGCTCGATCCCGGGAGCAAGCCCCATTACTCACGCCGACACCCCCCTCCTCGCTCCCGCCGCCCGGCCCTGGCCCGCCGGCCTCGCCTGTTCACCCGTCGTTTGGGAAGTTTGCTGCCTAGGGCAGCGGCTGAGCCCGGGGCAGTGCTGCCGCCGCAGCAATCAACAGGCGCCCGGACCTCCCTGGCCGCTGTCTCTCGCCAACCGCACCGCGGGACCCATCGGTGAACCCGGCTGCCCTCGGCCCCCGGAAGGACGGTGAGGATGTGCCGAGCATGCAAGCTGCCCCAGGCGCCGCGGTACCTGGCGAGGTGATGGAGGCCGTCCCGCCGCGCCTGCACACAGCGCCCGCTCCTCCCTCAGCAGCGGAGAAAGTTTCCTGACGTCAGCGCGGGCGGCCGAGGGACCCCGCCTGTCTGCTGGGCTCGCTGCCCGCCAGGCCGGGCTGCCGCTGCTCCCGGGCTCCCCCTGCCTCCTGCCACCGGCGGGCACGGGCGGAACCGGGAGGCGGCACAGCCGCCAGCACGGGCGCCCAACGGCGGCAGAAGGAGGCGCGCCCCGCGGCGTTCGGCAGGGGGCGCCATCGCGGCCGCGCGAGAGAGGCTCGGGTTAGGGAGCTAGGCTGGGCGCGCCCCAGCCCCCCAAGACCGTGGCTGGGGAGGCCTGTAGCGAGGGCACCGGGGAAGGGTCGGCACTGGAGTCCGGACAGGGCGGGCGCCTCCTCTGTCGGTCCGGCGGCGGACTCAGGTTCGTTGAGAGCCCCTTTGGAGAGGAGGGGAGCAGGCCTTTCGGAGCCATACAAAACTGACGGACATGCACACCTCATCTGTATCGTAGTTTATTTCATTTAAGCTTGTCTTAAAAAGTCTGATGAAGTGAAGAAATGGGAGGGAAAAAAGGCCGTGAAGAGTAGGCGGTAGCTGAGAAAGTGGGGAATGCAAGTTAGTAGGTCCACATTCCTCAGGAAAACATCTTTTGAGGATTAATAGACACTTCACAGGTCTTTGGTACACCTACAGTGAAGAATATAATCGTTTTGGTAAGGTACAGATAGATAGCATCATCCTGATTTTGAAATTTTGTCTGTGGTATGGCAGTCCCAATTGTGTTTTAGAAACACCGGAACAGCGTAGACCAGTATTTTTTTATGACAGTCACAGCACATGTAACAGGGACAACATATTTCCTGTAAAAAGGCAAGGAATTAATGTCTGCCATATTTTTTTTATTCCTGGTAGCCTTCTGCTCTGATATTGCCAGTAAGGGGGCATGAAATAGTGTCTTTGGAAAGGCAGGAAGTTCATCTGATGTTCCTCTGCCTCAGTTTTTTCAAAGCACAGTGAAAGATGCCTTTCATTTTTTCTTAATCAGTAGACAAACCTCTAGAACAGCCATTTAGAGAGCAGGAGAAAACATGTCACTGAAATCAAAGCAAAGGTGTTTTGTCTGCAGGAGGTATTTTTGTTTTTTAAAGGCAAGACAGAAAGATGGCAGTTTAGTTAGGAGTGGAAAGATCACTATAGGAAAAAACATGAAAGGCAGAAGTCAAGAGCAGGCAGCTTTTAAAATCAGAAATCCCTAGATAATTACATGCACAGATGTGAATTATGTAAGAAGTTAATTAGTGTGGACTGCTAATGTAGTCCATCACAAGTTTGTATTGTGTTACACGCTTTGGCTTTGGTTGCTTATTTTTGATGCTTGTGTGATTGGTTTTTCAAGCAACAAGGGAGTTTGTGTACTGCCTTTTAAGGCAAAAATAAGGTTCATTTCAGTGTCAGGGAGCATCTTTATTTATTTGGCATTTCATAACATCCATCCAAAAATAGTCTTTGTTGTACATCAAATACAAGTACTCAGACTTGTTCAGTAAATGTGCTGGTTTGGTTTTATTTTGATTAAAGCTTAGCTGCAGTCTAGGTACTAGATTGAGTCTCAAACTTTTGATCTACCTCTTAAAAAAATACATATACTTCTTTGTAAAGTTATGGACTCCCTTATACATGTTTTATCTTTCAGTAGAAAATCCTCAGTAGAATTTTACTAAAATAAAGGTCGGTAGCTTAGTCATAGCAGCAAAGGAGAGCATATGCTACACAAACAGAAAATATTTTGGCTATTGTAATACATGTAATCTTCAGTTTTTCAAAGGTGATTAGGAAAGCAAGTACAAATTAAGGGCACTTTAAAATTTTTTTACAGTACCATAGTAGGTTATTCATCAGAGAAAGTTTAAAATAAAATATGATACAGGGGGAATTCTTTTAGTTCCTGGTTTTGCTGAAGTCAAGTATATTTGATGAAGTCAGGTTAGATTTTGTCCCAAATCAACTTATACTATTTTAAATGCAATAAAAATATAAGTAGAGAATATATTATTCAGGCAAGGACATTCTTCCAAAATCCCTTCTGCATGCAAATTTTTCTCTTTGGAAAGTGAGACATTTTATAATACGTAAAAAAAAATTACACAGTATATAGGAAGCTTCCGATTTCTTCCAGGATGTTTTTGACATTATCTGTATTGCAGTGTTTAAATAAAAAGAATGTAGAGCAAACCTATTTTCAACTTAAAAGTTGGTGCATATTATTCAGAGGGAATAGAAGATGATGTGATTTCTTTCTTCTGCTGCCATTTTTTTCCTTCAACAGTGGCAACCTAGGGATGCAATGAGAACATTATTTGAGAAAAAAATTAGAGCAAAAATACATGACAAAAACACATGAACAGCATTAGTACCTATTTGTCTTAATTGTAACTCATGTGATCCAGGAGCAAAAAGGCTAGGAACAAAAAGAAGAAAAGAGTGACTTCCTCAGTAGTCTAGGTCCCCCAAAACTCAAAGTGGACAAAGTTGGATCATTACTAGGGCTGTCATTCTTGAGTGTTGCAGAGTTGAACAAAGAACTAGGCACACAAGAAATTAAGAGTATGCTCAAGAGTGAGCAAAGCCACATTCATGAACACATGCTGGCACCCTGGCTTCTTACATGAATGAATTTGATTTATTATTCTTATGAGCCTGTAAATGACAGTAATGTAAACAGATGGTGGTGACTGAGTGAAGACAATAGAAAATGAGCAAAAGCACTGAAATCAGTATTCATTTAGATTTGGACCTATGCCAAGATAAAAGAATAAATATTAATCACTTGGACTGATTTACCAGAAAACAGTTACTAGAAGGAACTAAGATTAAAGGATTGCACCAATTACAAAACCTGATGAGCTTCACCTCTCTACTGAGCACTGTCTTGCTTCTAAGGTAGACCAAAAGCTACCCAGCGTTACTCTGTGAGGCTGTTAAATAACAAACGAAAAGCAAGTGCTGTTCAGTCTTTCTGGTGGAGAAACACTGCAGGGAAGCTTTTACTCCTGAATTTGTATTTAACTTCTAGACCTTTTAATATTTTCATGGTGGTACAATGTATGCCCCCATTCAAAACTTTCCTTACTTTAACACATTTTTAAACAAAAATCACATCCCCACATTGATGTTGGTGATCTTAGGAGGACATAAAAAAAAGCTCTGCATTTCAGTCAAGGGAAGAGCATCATTAGCAGTGCCATCAGTTTCTGTGTCAGAGATGAGCAAGGTGTCAACAATGCTGAAGTGTGGGTGGTGGCAGAAGTGACTGATTTAGTGTTGATCATTATAAAGCTGAGCATGAGATTGGTGTAACTAGGGACATATATAAACAGGATGGCCTTCTATGTCATACCTCATAGAATTTTCATCCCAAAGGGGGTCAGTTTCTGTATCCCTGAAGCTTTTTGTGGAAGTATGTAACATTAAAAGTGCTGTATACACCACTGCAAAATATTTCCAAATAGAAAAGCAGGTTTTGTTGCAGAACTATCACAGACTTACTTTTTGTAGTAGCTTACTACTTTTGTAAATCTCACATCTACAAAACCAAGAGAAGGAAACAGACTTTCGTCATTTCATTCTAAAGTTTTGAGAAAAGGAAGAAGCAATAGAGAACTTTTATTAAAACCAGAAGGCTAATATGTAGTGTTCTTTGCAGAGAAGAAGTGCACAAAATGCTCAATATAATTGTGTTTGGGTTTTTTTGTTGTTGTTCTGAGCCAATTATCCTTTAAAGTCTGGCCAGAATGTCTACTTATGAAATTAAGTTGCTTACTCCATTACAAAAACCTAGAACAGTAAGACAGCCTAAAACTCAACTACACCGTTTAGCTTAAGACAGAATAAAAGAAATCATTACTCTTATCATCTGCACTATATGTATGGACATCAGTTTTTTAAACTATCTAGCATTTGAAAACAATGCAACAAAAATGTACTTGGGGGTGCCTAAACCAAAGTAATATTTAAAGTCTGCTCTCATTGAACTCACAAGTATTTTTCCTGGAGATTTCACAGAGTAGTATTATATTAGAAAAATGTTTATATAAGAATAAAACCTCTAAATAGAAAAAAAAAATTGTCTTAAGTCTTTGCTTTTAGGGTTTCTCTTACATGAAATGTTAGGAAGGAGATTGAGCTCTGGAAGAATCTCTCATCCCTTGACATAAACACATAAACAGGTAAATTGGAAGCTAAAATCTTCAAGGTTATTTGTAAAATAGCCTCAACAAGGTCTCAGAAAAGCTAAGAATCCTCAGTAAATTGCAGACACTGAATTTATCTTTTCAGGTAAAACAGGAGTAAAAATAGGCATCACTTTGTATTTTGGGACTGATGATTGCCAGTCAGGTACAGAGTTCTTCAGATCTGGCATAAAGAGGAGAACAGAGCTCCACCTTTTAACTGAAAATGAGCCCCTGATTTAGCAAATACAGACTTTGAGCAGACTTGTTCAGATACTTGAATTAACTTAATGTTTTCCTCTAAGCTTCTTAGCTACTCTTCTTGAATTACAGGAGTGAGAAATAAATTATGTAATTATTCCTTAGCTGATAACTGATACATGTGATTTATGTACACATTTGTTAAGTCTTAAGTGCTTTCATCAGACGTAAGTTCACGTATTTCCATAGCTACCAGACCATGAGACTCCTCTCTTATTCTCTGCCAAACATTTCAAATTCAGACTTTTTTTTCCTTACATCATTATTACTGGGTTTGTCCTTTCATAGCAATCCCTTTTTATGCTTTAGGATAAAACACAACTCAACCTGTGGACAGCTTGTAAATAGACTTTGATGTTGCAGGTAAAATTCAACTCCTGTCTAAAAGGTAGTAGTACATCATATAAAATACCAGGTGCAAGGAACTTGTACAGTCTGGAGGA